CCTTGTCCAGCTCTTGTGCCAATGCGATGGAGCTATTTAAAATCCACTCTGCGTCCTTACCCAGGGATTTGACGTTGTGCCCAACCATGCAGCTCATCTGGGTTCGGTCCCCACCCTTCTCCCACGTTCCGTCGACCAGGGTATGAGTCGGAAGCCCGAATTCTTTTGGGTCAACCTTTTTGTTCTTCAAAAGCCCTCCATTGTACCAAATGAGATCGTCTCGCAAATCAACGTGTCCTATCACGAAGCTGCAGATTCTCTCGATTGAGTCGTTGACCTTGTCCTTGAACCAACCAACCATGGAGCCATAGTGCTTCTCGAAGGCATAAGTTGCCCCGCTGAGCTCGAGTCCAAACCACCAAGTCTCCTTGTCGCCGTACGTAATTTTGTAGCTGACTTCTTCGCGCACATCGTATGTGTTCTGCCAAGCTACGTGGAGCAGACCCATCAGCACGTCCAGACGCGACTTATCAATAACGACTACACCCGAATCGCCCTCTTCGGCGTAGTCCTCGGTCCAGACAAGTGACTTATTTAGCGTGGCGCTAGGTTCGTGAATCTGCGACTTCCACCACTCGTGACGGTCGGCGAATGAGTGCTGCCAAAGTAGTCGATCGTGGAAAAGAAGTGCCCCTGTCTGCTCATATGACGGGTCTAAGAAAAGCGTCTCCGGGACCTGGACGAAGACCGAATCCGCATCTGAGAGAATGACCTCTTCAAACGGCGCATACAGAGCCGCGAAGGCTTTGATTGCCCATCCTCCCTTTACGAGCTGCAGAGTCGTATCGTCGACGACGCTTAGAACGTCCAGGAATTCGATCCCCTTGAAGCGGGACTGCAGCTTCTCGCGGTCTGCTGATGGCAAGTCCTCGTCTCCGGCATATACAATCTGGATTGTCATGTTGCTGTACAAGACGTTCTGGAGTGAGCCGATGAGGTGAGTGGCATATCGCATGGTTCCCTTGCCTGTTGGTATGATGAATCCGCGTGTTCCGGGGACAATGGACGAACGCAAATCCGAAAATGGTGTCTTGCTGTCTGGGCGCTTTGGTGAGTGTTGAATAAAAGGGAACAACGATGCGATTGCGCCTTCCACTTTCTCTAGAGTAGGCTTGATGTTTTCCGACTTGGGTGCGTTATCGAGAAATTTGACCCATTCTCGGGCTTTCTTGGCCCGCTGACCCAATTCGGAGAATTTCGACTTGTAAGGAGGTTGGATGGGATCGCCGATCAAGTTTTCGGCTTCATCACTGATCAAAGCAGCCTCTTTCTGCCATGCCGTCGGGCTATCTTCCTTCGGTTTGTCGGAATGTTGTGGTGGATGTGACTGCGTTTGCGCCGGTGGGGGCTTGGCGGGGGACGTCGGATGATAAGAGGGAGTAAGAACATAAGAGGAGTATAAGAACAAGAACAATAGGCAAGCGAAAAAGATAGCTGTGGTCATCCGCGAGGATGGCATGACTTTGACGACCATGCTGGCCAACTAGTCGCGAATTGCGACTGACATATGAAGGGAAACGATGTTCTGGCAGTAGGCTTGTTGTGTGAGAACGATGGAAGTAAGTTCACAAACCCAGGGGGAAGGGTGAGGTGCCCAAGCACATTGCTTACCTTTCAAAATCGCGCCAAAAATCCCGGCCCCACGGTTGGTTACGTATGCCAGACTAAAGTAGGTACGCAGTAGTCGCGTGAGGGAGCTTCGTCAATGGGTAGGGGGCCACAAAAGAAAGTTTAGTTCGAGTGACCAACAGAGTGATAAAAGCTGAAAGTGCATTCCATCCCATGTCCAAGTTGCATCGGCGCTTGTCAGCATCGGCTGTCTCATGGCCCTCACTTCGAATCTTGAAGAACTAAAGCTAGACAATCACGGTTTCTTCTTGGATTTCATCGCGGAGAAGCCATCTTTCAACTTTCCAACAAGTCTTCCTTGTTGGCCTCGGTCGACACGGCATGGGTGTCCACCACATGGATCTTTGTCACAAACCAAGGTAACCAACAAAGCATCCCAACGCCACAAACATGGTTGAAGCAAGAGAGCGGCGCAGCTACACCCACATCTTTTCCTGAGCTACTTCGTTACTTCCCAATCAAGCTATGAGTGGAGACTGGAGAATCCTTTTTGACACCCGGCTAAGGATGCTTCGAAATCTGCCCAAGGAGCTAATAGCGTCGAAACTCAAGTACGAATCCCATCAGCAGTTTAATATTGTACTTCGAACCTTGTCAAGTAGCACTCTCTCTCCCTTTGGATTACTCCTTTGTTTTTGGTTCCCATTAAACCCACTACCCTGTCTGTTCAGTGCTACTTGTCCGTCTCAGAGTCTTCGTCTTTCACGCGGCGATGTTGAGGCCCACGGGGTTGGTCTTCTTCTTTGTTTGCTCATTGGTTCTGTTCACTCCGCTTTCCGAGGCGGCCAACTGTTTCAACAATAGGGGGAAGCTCTTTACCGGCCAGGTACAGTATCCAGGGGCAGATGACAGTGGCAGCTTGCTCTCTACAGCCCTTACCTCGAGAACTCCAAGCGGCGCAACAGCGGCAACAACTGCATTGGGATCTAGCTCAAGAACGGCTTCTGAAAGCCCAGATACCACCAACACCGCAAGGTCGTGTTCTGGGGGAAATGCCAAGGACACGACTTGTAGGCACGGGCAGGACGCTAGTTTCCAGAATCCAAGTCTTGGTGGGCGCCTCGCAGCTCGCGTGATTGGGGGTGCGGCAGCAACCATGAGGCAGATGCGAAATGTCGCATCAGTCAGTTCTCATCTTTTTCGCTGATCTACGGTTAAAGCATTTGACCAAAGTGGCTCTCGGATGATTTTGGAGCAAGATTTACACGGAGTTTGGGGGCAGATAGTTGCTTGCCGGATCATGATAAGTTGGTCTAGGGCAGACTCAATAGTAAGAGGTGTGGATCTTGGCGCGGAAAATAGTGCGGCATTGATCAATCGTTTGTTCCCCGCCTTGGTAGATGTGCCTCGCGCCTTTTACTAGTGCATGTAGATATCCTCCGTTGTATTTTTTGTTGATACTACCTTCAACCACCACCGGTGACCTTTCGGCTACCGGCAGTTGCCTCGACTGAGATTTCCAAAGCCTTTCGATTCAGTATCTCTCATTCCTTGGCATTGTCACTGGGCTGAGTGGCATGCAGGATCGAGCTCCCGGTCTTCCGTGCTGAGTAAGGACCACTCACAAATATCCAGGGTGCGCAGCATCCTTGCTGGTCCCGCTCTTTCCGCCCGCCCCTTCCTTCTGGCTTACAGCGCTGTAAGGTAGCCACAAGATGATGGCCTGTCGAGCTGCTGCGCATAAGAGAGTCGCTAGGCACTTAGATCCTGCAAATTCCCAGACTATTGAGGTGCAGGGGCAAATCGGCTCCGTAATGTGGTCTTATTATGGTCGCTGTGTTGATGAAATTCCTCGAAGTCAGATATGATGACAAGTTTGCTTCAACAATGATGGATGACGGAGAGAAGACTGTGATCATTTGCAGGGTACGGATCTTCCCAGTAGATTTGATGGGGGCGATTTACCTGGGTCGGAAGCGGATGGTGCACCAACGGACCTATGAGAGGCGGTGGCTGAACTAATCGCAATGCGCCCAGGCCCATGAATGATCCTGTATTGATGCAGGTACAGGGGGCATGGGGGTAAAACAGCCCAGGCGCTGCGGGCTCTGCTTTATTGCTCTCCGGCGAAAATCTTTACGTTGAAGTAATGTCTTCATTTTCCGAGACTTCGAGGTGCCTTATTCTTCTTTCGGTCACAAAGTAGGTACCGTTAGATTGCTGCTGCTGACGATGTCAGTTACTGGTGCTCTGGCTGAATCATCCATATATGTGGTTGAATTGTTGATAATTTTAACGCAAGCTAGATATAGGTAGACCTGCTGCATGGGGATACTTTACCCTTCTGCTGACCAAATCTTACGTTGTGGTATCCAAACTCGGCGATTTAACAATGCGCTCTACCGTGGGTGACCGGTATCCAACTTGCCAAATCTGCAGTATTGCCCTTCTACTACTCAAAGAAGTTTGGACAAGAACATGAAAGTCGCTAGAATCTATCTTTTTTTGGCCAAATTTTTGCCACTTTGCGTCTGCGCGTGTCGAGGTCCGTCACATGGATGAAGTTAATTTATCATCACAACAGCGGCCAGCCTGTAAGGTTCCAGCGACCGGCACAACGACCCGCGCCGCGCCGTTCCCGATTAGTGCCCCACATTATCGGACGGTTGATGCTCGCCGAAGCAGAGGTGGGATGGTAATCGAACTCTTTGAAACTTCCAAGATTAAACCATATGCAGCGGAAATGACAGAGTGGATAGCTACAAAACTGGACTATAATTCGCTTTTGTAAGTGACATCTGCTCTCAAGAATCTGATTTTATTTCTCCGAAGGAGGGGGGAGGGGCGAAGCCTAAGGGTCGCGGACGACGACGCAGGGGCGAGTTTTGTGCGCTCGAAAGACGGTTGTGAGCGGTCCCGAGGGCTGAGCTTCATCGATCAAACTCTATTGTCGAGGTAATTCGTATCCCTGGTGTGAGATAATGACGCTTCAGAGAAGATAAATAGGCTGACAATCGTCATTGGTCGAGAATGAAAGAAGCACAAGACCAAGTGTATAGGTCATCTTGGGGCATCGCACTCAACAGACGACAGTCTACCCCTTCTCTACATGCAGTCCAAGTGGCATTTAGACCGTTTCAGGTCTTGGAGAATAAAGCCCAACGCTTCTGCTTGCTGCAAGTTTCTTCGGCAAAGTCCAATGTCTTGCAACTTCTTCAGACTGTGTCGTTCGTTTTTGCGAATATGCTGCGTCAATAGGCTTCTATTTTGAAGAGTAACATAAGTCCAAAGATACAGAATTCATAGTTGCGGAAGTGAAAATGAAACCCAATGGTTTCAAAATGCGCCCTATCAGGGACCTAAAGAATTATAGCTATTGGCACACTAGGCCGTGTGGTGACACATGAAATGAGGTCTAAAACAATCAGGCTCTAAAGGCGCGCTAGCTTAGCCGTCGCAGGGTCCTGAAGTAAGCGACGCAGAATTTTGCCAGATGCGGATTTGGGAATTGCCTCAGTAAAAACAATTCCACCAGTCAGCCTCTTGTGTGCCGAAAGTCGGCTCTCCATGAATTCAAGAATCGATTCGGCGGTGACGTTGCCGTCTTTGGGGACAACGTGAGCCTGTGGATGTTCTTGCCCCTCTCTGGTCGCGTGTTCGTGTAAGTCAAATGTAAGCGGCAAATAGGAAAGGCATGAGCGCACCTTGTAACGCGAATAACCGCGCAGTCCTTGACTCCTTCATGCTCAAGGAGATGCCCCTCAAGTTCGGCTGGGGCTACTTGGAAGCCTTTCACCTTGATGAGTTCCTGTACTCCGAATAACATGGTCAGCAAATGCTTGAGAGGCCTCAGAACAATGCGGCACAAACCTTTTTGCGGTCCACAATAGTCAAGAGTCCACTCTCCTGAATGGACACGATATCTCCAGTTTTCAGCCAGCCATCTTTGGTCCATGCTTCTCCAGATGCGCTCGGGTTCTTGTAATAGCCCTTGAAGACATTTGGCCCCCGAATGAGCGCTTCTCCCTCTTCATTGCAGGCAACTTCGCGGCCATCGTCATCGACGATCTTCATCTGCATGTTGGGGAGGATATACCCAACGCCTTTGTGCAATGGGTCGAACTCGTCAGGGGCAAACAAAGTGACTGCCATCGTGGCTTCGCTCATTCCCCATCCCTGTCGACTGCGAGCTTTGCCCCCGCTGAACACCTCTTCCAATCTTTTGGATAGCTCCGGTTGGAGGGGGGCTGCTCCACAAAACATGGACCTCACGCTGGACACGTCGTAACGGGGTAGGAGATTGCTTTTCAATAGCATCACAACTACCGGCGGGGCTAGGAGGAGATGTGTGACGCGGAACCGCTGGATTGTGCTCAGCAGAAGTTCAAGACTGAACTTACGCATTGTGACTGTAGTGCAAGATCTGCGTACATTTACCACGCAGTAAGTCATGAGTCCACCTGAGCTCGTGGTCAATGCTTCGTGCCGCAGTAGCGTGTGGTTGAGGTTCTGGACTGCAACTTACTGGCATGATAAAGAGGCAGGAATGCACAGTGAACATCGTGAGTTGAAGATCCTTGGTCCTTTGCTCTCAACTCGCTCACTCGGTCAAGGTGAAGTGTCTGTTCCGCATTGGCAACAAGATTGCGGTGGGTGATCATGCATGCCTTGGGTTTTCCCGTTGTCCCACTACTGAAGTTAAGAACTGCGACCCTTGCAAATTGATCAGCATTGCGTTCATGCTTTTGTTCCCTTGCAGCAGCTCACTTTTCTGCCAGAATTAGAGGATCACTGATTGCCTCCCAAGAGTATGGCTCAGCCAACAACTTTTGCATGGTACGCCAGCGATCATGCCTAGGCCGACCCTTGTTGTCAACGAGGACGACAGATTCTTTTGGTATGCCGGCACTCCTTGCAGCTTGCAGTGCGGTTGTGAGTCGGATGGCATCCGTGAAAATGCACTTAGCACCGGAAACAGTGAGTTGGTGGGTCAGTTCTAGTCCGGGTTACCCATGTGCTCCATGCTTCGTGCCGAGGTATCTCATCATGAATTCGTAACTCACCAGCCTCCGTGTACCCCGGATTGGCACCAGTGAAGATCCCACCTGCACAGATTGCCCCAAGGATTATAACTGGGTACCATGCCTGGAATGATGAGACACAATATTAGGGGATGGCCGCCTGTCATGGCCGTGGGACTACTCACAGAATTCTCAGTGTAAGCGAGAACAACATCGTCGTTTTGTATTCCCAATGTTTGTCGGAGGCCACCCGCTAGTTTCTTGACGCAAGTCTCAAATTCAGACTTACGGAGACTTTGAGCAGGTTTCTCGGCATCAACGAAGATAGGCAAATCCCCATCCGGGGGTGACGTTCCTGCAGTCTATTTTAGCAAACACAAAAAACAAAACACGTGCCATGGCGACATCAACTGTACCGAACACGTATGATAGAACATCGACTTGAGGTATGTCTATCTTGTATCTAGAAGAGAAAATCATGATGGTATTGGTAATTTCAATGTGTGTTCACTTGCTGGATAGACCGAGATGAACCTAAAAGAAAGACGCACAACGCCAGCAGAGGTGGTGACTGGCAAACTACAACTCCAAGAGAACACGTAGTTGTGGGTTTGATCTTTATATTGTAGTACCCAGTCGGGCCGAATAAAGAACCTCAAACCTTTGATACTTACGAGCAGTCTGCAGCATTGCAGGAGGGGCACTTACACGGACGGGCTTCGGGTCTGAACTTCTGAAAGCTTAATTCACCCGAAATAATCAGCTTAGCCCCGATGCAATCCTCAAGCTAGACATTTGGAGCGAGAACTGCAACTTCGAGCAACGGCTACGCCTTCCCCATTCAGAAAAGTGCCTTGGTACTGATCTCTATATTGAAATTCAGTCATAATTTGTTTAGCATCCGGAGTCTGGTTTTCTCCGCCGTGTTGGGGTGGAACGCGCGGCAAATGTTCAATGTTTGTATTCACCGCCTCAAGAAAAGGTCCGATCGGACACTCCGTCGCTTACCGCGGCAGATGCAGAATCAAGGGTCAAGAGAGAAGGGGCATTCAGACCTGTTGGGCAGCAAAATGCTATTACTATGCTGAGAAGCCATTACTGATTCGTATGCGGCTAGAGTCGAAGGTATTTGCGGGGTGATAACAGGGTGTTTTCGGCCCTGTCAGTTCAGGCGGCGCGGCCCGGGGTTAAGTCAGAGCAGACACGGGCTAGCATCATGTGCGGCAAACAACCACGGGAAGCTGGAGTGGGATCCGGCCGGCATTACTGGGCTAGAGTAATTTTGGAATTCCCCTCAAGATAGAGTTGCGCTAGTATCATCTCTTGGCCTGCGGCCGGATGATTCGATATCTGCGTCGGTCATTTTCAGAGTTCGGTGGTTCCAGTATCGCTGTCACAAGTGCATGAGGTGGATCGCCGGGATTTTCGGGGTCCATCCCACTCGTCTCAACTTGCCTGTGTCTGAGCTATCATCTATCAAAGTTGATCCGTTGACTAAGAAGGAAACTCCGAGCGTTGAATATTGACAGTGTGGGCAGTACCAATCGAATCCTGGCTGAATAATCTTCGGGCTGGCCCCATTTCTCATGGACTCGGGTCTAACTTCATGCTTCAGCTTCTGTCAGTCCGGGCGGGATGACAAGGGCCTACCATTAAACACACGTGGCCTTCTCATTTGGCATTTCGAATAAGATTCTGACTCGTCTTTGGGCTTTCGGAAGCAGATATAGAAGACTTATCTGAGTCAGACGTAAGCTAACCACTGCCCACTTCCGATAACCTAGCAACAATCTCCGTTGGAACCTCTCTACAAGGGAACAGTTCCTACACGGTTTCGGATCAGGGATCATCAAGTACTGGTGGCACCCAGCCAAGAGGTAGTACCCAGCCTCATTTTCTCGTACGAGTTACACACTTTAGCCATGTCTATTCCCATTGCCCAAGTCTTCCGCCAACAAACTGCTGAGTTGAGTAGGGGTTATGAGCGTGTCTCCTAGTCAAAATTATGCTTGCACAACTTGAACCTCGATATCTTTGTCGACTAGTCTGCACAGTTACAGTAACAGTTCAATTCGCATGATATCTCTACTGCCTAAAGTAGATAGATGTGCCTTGGGTCTATTCCCTATTCATTCCATAGAGTTGTTCGAAGCTCTACATTGCATCTGCGTCACGGGGCACAAGTTCGAAAAGAACCGTGAGAGACGGGGGCAACATGTGATGCTGCTTGACACAAATCCAACCACCATCCTCGAACACACCCTCCCAGTCCTCCACTGTGGGCAACTTGACATCCATCAGCGCATGGCCAAACTCGAAACCCAGGGTAAAGATAGGCACGTCATCCTCTTGTACTGCATGGCGAGATTGAGGATCATTTGTGAGAATCCGCACCGTATCGCAGATGAAAAATCGTTTTACACTCGGGAAAGCTTTGCGCAGCCTCTGTAGAGAGCTAACACATTTCTCCCGCGGCCAGAAGTCGTGGCCCATCAGAAAGGATGTCAAAAGGTCCACGTTGGCAAACTCATCCCGATAGTCGAGCTTACGCGCATCGCCGACCAAGAACTTGATGCGGCCACCATAACCACGCTTCACGGCATCTGACCTAGCAACCTCAATTGCCGGACCAGCAATATCGATGCCAAGTCCAGTGCTCTCAGGATAGCGGTCGAGGACTTGCATGATCCTCTCGCCACTCCCACTGCCCAGGTCCACAACGGAGGTAAAGTTCTGGCCAGACGACTTTAGGGCGTTGAGAAAGACCGGATCAATGAATTGCGTGTTTGCGTCACGGCACGCGTAGGCGATGGCCGCAGAATCACGCGAGTAAAATTTGCCCTCGCGATTCTCGTTGCGAATGACGTATTGCATGCGCGCGAACAAACTGCCGGAACCAAGAGCAAGCCAGTGAAAGAGACTTTTGGTGCGGTATGCCTCTTCAAGCAACCTCCCGGGCAGGGCAGCTCCCCCCTGACGCTGGAGGATGTCAGAGGTAGCGAGCGCGGAGACCAGGGCGCGGGTCGAAGCGAGATCCAGGTTGCGGTTGGCCGCGAACTCGTCGATATCCACAGCCTTTTGTGTACGGACCTGGTCCAGTAGTCCGAGTTCCCAAGCAGTACCGATGGCGCCGGCGGCAACGTAGGAGTTGAAGATCTTTGCAATGTCGTGCTCAGAGGAGAGCTTCATGTTGGTGATGGATCCCATTTTGACGGTGATAGTGATTGAGATACTTTTCGGAATAAAACGAAGAACCAAATAAGTTTTTCAAATCAAGAGGAAAAGCTTGAAAAAGTTCATGCGCTTTGAAAGGCAAATCAGTAGGTTTCTATGTGCCGTTGAGATTCCGGCAAGAGACCACGAGAGAGTCAACACGCCACTTTATACCCATGCTGAAGCTAAGGGGACGATGTTGCATCAACCTCAAGATTTTCTTCTGATGATACGCGACAAGAACAATTCCCGTGAACATCCCAAACCTGCAGGGTACGATAGTGCTCTGGAAGCCCAACGCAATGCAAGCGGAAGAGTTCCGATCATACTGGCGAGAAATTGGAAGTCCCGGAGTGTTCCACGCTGCCCGAGATTTTCAGCGGCCCGGTCTGTCACTTCCATATTTCGGAATGGCGACTTCGAGCTTCCATATGCTTCCGATCGATTATGAGTTGACCTCTGACAAGAAAGACCGAATACGAGGTCTCTGTGTATCCAAGGACGAAATCCTGTCTCCGACATGTCAAAGCCAGAACTTGTTCTCAAATTGTTGAAGCTGTACTGAATCCTCCAGTATGCCAAAACCGACATGTGATAACTCTAGACCCCACAGAGCTCCTTGCTTTCATACCTCCGACTGAATTGTCTGCCCAGTGAGTGTTTTCACAGCCTACTTCCTCCGCCAAGACCATCCTTGCTCCTTTGAGTTCTCTCTAGATGTTTTTACTTTCAGGGAAGAGTTGGCCTGATGGATCATGGCCGCCCTGCAAACTCGGGATCAAAGTGTTGTCAGTTACGGGCTGCCTCTTGTGGCAAACCGGAGTATCATGCAAGTCAGTCGCGATGAAGAGAAATTTTGGCTATAAATGGTCGTGCCTTTGACAACAACATTTGGACTTCTTCTTAGCATCATTGCCA